CTTTCCTCAGCATCCTAAAATAGATCTTGAAAGAGCGCATGGTGAGCAGTAATGATTTGTCATGAAAAAGGGCATAAACCACCAGCGGTTCTATCTGAATGGTCTGCTCTCATTCAGCCAGAATGACTCAGTCAACACTGGTCAATTCTCTAAGGTAACAGTCGTCACCCAATCTTGTGGTCGTCATCATCATCATCATCATCATCATCATCAACAAGTGAATCGCTGTGTTATCTTTGTCTCACCTTGTTTCAGTCTCTATTTCGTCTGCTCTCCTTCCACTTTCTTCACATCCTCTTCACCCCAGCAGGATATCAGCATCTTCACGTCGGTATCCGACTGGTGATTAAGTAGCTGTTGTAAGGGAAGAACACAGCTTCAAACACACCCCCATAGCTATTGTTATTATTTCGATATTGCATTTTCGTCTTAATTTCTAGCGGTTAAACACAGTACATAAACATACTGCACACAGACGGTTGACAAAGGTAAAACCAACATAGTGTCTTTGAAAGGTGCTGGGCTGCGACGTGGCACCAGAACAGGTTCAATGCGCCTTTAGCATTGATTCTACAAGTCTCTACAGCTCTACTTGAGGGATGGATGCCATTCTTCCAAAAGATATTCCCTCATTTGGTGTTTTGATGATGGTGGTGGAGAGCGCTGTCCAACACATTGGTTCAAAATCTCCCATAGGTGTTTACATCATTTTCATGCCCATCAAACCATTCAGTGACCTCCCCTTGTGCCCTGTGGATGGTGGCATTGTCATCCTGAGAAAGACCATTCCCATCAGGATAGAATTGTGTCACCATAGGATAAAGGTGATCACTCAGAACAACTTGGTATTGATTTGCAGTGACCCTTCCCTCTTAGTGGACCCCTCACTGCAGGGGTCAAGCATTCAGGCCTGTATCATTCTCTTGGTGTATACACCAGACATGCACTCACACGCTTGTGGAGAATATGGTGAAGGATGACTCATCTGACAAAGCCCTTATTGGGAATTTACCAATTTATATTATGTCTCTCTTGATCACATGGTCACATGACCAGGTAACACTCCATGTACCTAAGGTAAACTCTGAATTTGGGAAGACTGCATTTGGAGTCAAAGCCCGAGAAACGTGGAATCTTGAGAATGAGATCTCTATCTCAATGTGATTTACCTAAATAAATAAAGGTTAAATAAATGACCCTATCACTTTTTTCCACATCTCCGTAGATGGGTGCCCGTGGTTTTTGCACCACTGAACTCTCAAATATGCGTTCATCTTTGTAATCACTGCAACCCTACTATGAAACCCATCTCTATGGACCCTGTTGGTGGACTTTCCTTGCTGACACAGTCTAATCATGTCTTGTGTTGAGGAAGAGCAACTACATATGGCACTAATGCATGAACAGCACGGTCATCAAATGTGCACTGGCGACTGCAATTTCAGTCCCTATTTGTTGATGTCTTTCCCATAGATCTAAATGCAGATGTCACTTCAGTCTCTAGATGTCTCAATCCTGGGGCTCAGTTATTTCTTCAGATTTGTTCGAGCATTGAAAAATAATTATCTGCACAGTTCACTTCAAAAAACTAAAATGTTTCTCCAAATGAATGTGTTGCCACTTGAGATGTGACGCAGCATTAAGGTGGAGCAAATAATTTCACAACATAAACAGTAATTAATCATGTTCAGAGCTCAGGTACAAAAGCTTGTTTGTGTTGAATTGCAGCTTCCACCTCTCTGCACAGCTTTCTCTGCAGCTTTTCACAGATGTTCTACACACATGGGGAAATGTTTGGCCCCTCGGGGTTGATACCGTCTCTGTTTGTCCTCTTGTGAGATTGTTTCTCCCTGCAGTATAGCATAATGCACAGGCTTTTTGTCATACAGATTTAAGGCAATGCTTGTTAGTAATGCACAAAGAGGTTTTATTGCTTTGCCTTAGGCGTTTCATTAAAACCTGATAAGATATAGTTGGTTGCATGTCTTTGGGGAATTTAATTTATATGAACTCCCAAGACTTTCGGAAATATATAACAATAAATATCTCATGAATATCCTAATGAACTGTACAGCTAAGTACTACAGATGTATGTCTATTGTAGAACTTTAACAATAAGTCATTTGTCAGCTGGTCAAAGAATTGATTATTTTGATAATCACATAATAGTGTGAAGACATTACCTTGATCCAGCCTCTCATATGTTAAAATTTGCTCCTTGAATATTGAATATATTTAGATTTCGTACTGTTTGTCAGACTAAACAAGCAAATTGAAGACATCACTTTGAGATTTTCTGGTATTTTATAGTCAGTCAATTAAGTGGATTTAGTGGATGATGGAAATAATTGCGGGTTAATTATGATGTTTTGTTGCACGACCTTCAGAGCCAAAGAGAAATCCTTCTCTGCGACAGCAGCAGAGCCAGCTGTTGCGACAGTCTAAGGTCATACTCTGTTACGCTGTGACCCTGCTGGTACAGCTCAGCCTGTAGTGATGCTGTTTGCTGCCCTGCCTCAGGATTCAGCTGTCTGCTCTGCTTATGGTCATTCTCTGGGCTGACTGCAAAGGCCTGGCACTGGAGTATAGATAGCTGAAGGTCAATTCAGGCTCTGTCCCCGTGTATGTGTGCGCGCGTGCGTGTGTTGGTGGCGGAGGGGCGCATGTTTGTCTGTCTGTGTGACAGAGTGAGGGGACGTGATGAAGAGACAAAAAAAGGATGAGAAATTGATTGCAGCGATGGGAGCAGGAGGTGGATACCAGAATTACTGTCAGCCTAATTTGCATAACGTGCAGACACACACACACACACACACACACACACACACACACACACACACATACACACATACTTCACATCTTTTCTCACTCTCAAACAGGCATGGAAGGACACACAACCTTCAGACCTAACGAACAGAGTTCACCTTCGATCGGTATAAAGGAAATGTCACCAAGGGATGCATTAGTACATTGACAGGCTTTCACAATCGCTCCAGTGTTATTGCCATTAATGGGATAACTGCAAAACAGTGTTTGTTTGAGTACCACTCTATAGAATAATAAAGAAGAAGAATAAACTACGAATCACAATGATGCATGGTACTTGATCCTCATAGACAGTGATGTCTTTCCATTCATATAGCGTCTGTTTCACCTGCTGAGATTTTGAGATTTCTGCTGCCACTCCAAAACAATGGCGTTGAATGGAAATGTGCTTGTGATGCTGGAGGCACTGAAAAATGATATTTGAAAAATCTGACAGCATATATCTTCCAGTTACTCAGGATAACCCACAGAACAGTTTTCATCTGCACTACTTTCTAAAGAAAGTGCAAAAAGTGCATCTGAATTAAAGTAGCAGTTCAGCCACCTTATCTGTTGGTCTTTCCAATTCTGCTTTTGAAGCTAGGTGTTTTTGTGTATGTCAGGAGGGGGTGAAAATAACTTTCATCTAGCTTGGAAATCTGTTGAGTTAAAGCCAGTAGTTTGTTTCTTTCTTTCTCTCTTTGTCTTTTATTCTCTGTCAGAAACTTTGCAAGATGTTATCTGACTTCTGGAAATGACTCACAAAACTTTCTCATTACATTGATGATGCGATATCTAGGATCTTATTCATGCTTTGCAAAAAAAAAAAAAGTTGATCCAAAATAAAATTAAGAAAAGTTAATTACAACGTGACTCAGAGGAACTGAATTTCCATTTTACTGTGTTTTTTTTTAGACTCTATAAAACTAATATCCATCATAACAGGAACATAGTTTGATTTAGCAGCTGAGTTATACAAATAAGATGAAAGAGTGATCCTGTTATCTGAAATAAGATACCCTATCTATCCACGAGGACGTGTGAAGGACCTGTGAAAAATAGAAAGGAACCTTTCTGTGGGGGTTAGAAAATCTTCAGGGGTCTGAAATTGCAAACTGAGTCATTGAGGACCGGACTGATTTAGCATGTTTTGAAGACATATTTACAGAGTCAGAGGATAACACTAGTATCAGCTTTCACCAAAAATGAAAGTCTCCACCTAAAATTGGAACCCAAAAAGACATATTATATCATGGAGTATGGAACAGTCTCTAATGAAACTGACAATGCTCCAGTTGGGAGCATATAATGTATTGGAGCTGCCATGATTAGTCAATTAATCAATTTATGGGCCACTATTTTTATAATTGAATGAAAATGACAAACTTTTGATGATTCCAGCTTCTCAAATGGGAGAATTTGTTGCTTTTCCTTGTCTTACATTATAGTAAAATTAATATTTCAAACTTTTTGGACTTCGATGACCTTGAGCTCGATAAAACTTTTAGGCATTTCAGATATTTATAGAACCACAGTTTAATCATTAATTAAAATAATCGTTTGTTGCAGACTTATACTGTATGTTTACCCCTAACCACACACATTTCCTGCATTATGGGCCACTGATAACACTAGAACAAAGTGAATTGGTTTGTGAAAGAAGATAGCCACAACACTTGACTTAGATCTGTCCAGCTCTCAACACAAGGCCCAACTTATTGTTTCCCGAGCTTTCAACTACATTTCATTCTCTTCCTCTGCTGTTCCATAGTTAGATCATTAGGAAATGGAGTAAATCTATTTGCTGACAAACTGCAGAGTGGACCAAAAAGTACAGGCAAACAGTAACTGGAGGGGCACAAATAGGTAGAAAACCACCAATTAACAATTGCATTTGAGGGTTCACTATGAAAATATTTATACAGTAAGCCATATAAGAAAAGAGTAATGTTTTTCTGTAAGACTTGATAAAAAATATCAGTTTACTGTATGTGTGCACAGTCTTCTTTTCAAGCTGTCAGAGTTCATGACTTACGACCACGGATGCCGTTATTCACTGAATATCCGTGTTGTTGCCATGGCACCAGGCTGTTCCCAGCACGGACCCCACTCTTACAGCCAGTGTCCCACCACAGAAATAAAACATGCAGCATTCAGTATCCCTGCATGCAGACTCATGTTTGTGTCCTTTCCAGGCTCCCATGATTCCTTCAGTTTCTACATCGACGAGGCGTCTCCAGTGGGCCCCGAGCAGCCGGAGACGGTGCAGAACTTTGTTTCTGTTTTTGGCACAGTGGCCAAGAAGCTAATGAGGAAGTGGTTAGCTACACAGACTATGAACTTCACCAGCCAACTGGAGGCTGGGATCCGCTTCTTTGACCTGCGCATCTCCACCAAGCCCCGCGACCCTGACAACGAGCTGTACTTCGCCCACGGGCTCTTCAGCGCCACGGTCAGCACGGCGTTTTGATGGTTTTTGATGTGATGAATATTTAGCGATGCTTGTGGTTGCTAAGTGATGTTTTTACATTTCTGTGTATGTGGCAGTGTATTAATGTGCGAGTGCAGACTGAGAGCTTAATCATTCAAGATCCTTCAGAGATTTTTAAGTACACCGCAGTTGTTTATGTGCCCAAATGTCATATCATTATGTCATAAAAGAAATGTTGAATACTTTTATCGTTCATATTTGTGTTTTTCAGGTCAGAGAAGGTCTAGAGCAGATCAGCAGTTTCCTGTCAGCTCACGCCAGAGAGGTCGTGTTCCTGGACTTCAACCACTTCTATGGCGTGCAGAACCTGCACCATGAAAAACTGGTGGCCATGTTAAAAGAGGTGTTTGGAGAGAAACTCTGCCCAGTTGTCTTCGCTCAGGAGGTACTTTCAAATTTAAATAAGTTCAGCACATAACAAGGAGTAGGATTAAAGCTGGCCTCAAACATTTATCTCAGATACTTCTTTCACCATAACAACTCTTGATTGAGAAAGGACACATCTGAGGCACACTTTCTGTGTGTGTTTGTCTTCAAAAGGCTTTTGATAAATTGTGTTCTCAGTGCTGCACAACAGTGATTTCTTGTGTTTTGATCGCGTAAGATGCAAGATCCAAGCCCCAAGCCAGCATCGCACGCTCCAAGATCATATTTTTCTGTCGGGTGCTGCTCCTGAGTGAGAATGTGGAGTGTAGAAGTGAAGAGAGGAAGGAAAAGGCCAATAGTCACGACTGGATTCTGGGAAAATAATGAACTTCTTCTCGGTGCTCTAGGGGCATGTGGGTTGTGTTTAATTTTAGAGCAGACAAATTACTGGTGTTCTTTACTCCACAGGTATTATATCCCCTCCTCTTTCCCCCTTTTCTCCACTCATTTGTCTATGAGTACATCCACTCAACTACTTTCCTTATCTGACCTTTACCTCACAGTTTCTGTCCTGTACAGTGTTAATAAACTGCACTACTCTTGTCCAGCACTTGTTTGGCTTATTTAAGGGACACATGTTCAGCTATGAGGTCATTATCACAAAATAAATCATAAAAAGACATGAGCTATTATAGCTTATATTTAGTTATTTAGTTTATAACATGGCTACTTACTTCAATCATTTGACATGCAATATAGATGTTGTTGCTAGTTAAAGAACTTTAGCTACAATCTTCCACCACCAAAAATCTTCCAGCAGAGATACGGAACGGCAAAATAATGCTTCTGTAATTCTGTGAAATGTGTTTTGCCTTTTGAACAGCCTCAAATAACTTCAAAAGTACAAATTAAAATGATGTTTTTATGTACTCTTGATAAGCAGTGCACAATGATAAGACATTTTTTTTTTTAAAGTGTTTGTTTATGTGACAAAGCTGTCTGTCCTCTAAAGTAACATACTTCACCATTTCTGTAGTCAATCAGAAGTGAGTATTGAACAAAGCTGCTTAATAATCACTGCCATGCGCTGTATAAGACAATAACATCCACTTATTTCTGTTTGCTTTCATTCAAATAAACATCAACCTTTCTTAGTAACTACCAGGTACATCTCAGCTACCTGTTAAGAATGTTTTCTGTCACTCAGTGCATATGCATATTTACTATTCAACACTTGTCACCTTTTTTTTTCTTTTTTTTTTTATCACCTCCCATCTCTCCCCATCTCTCTCCTGCTCCCCTGAACACACTTCTCCCTCCTCTTCATGCTCAGGTGACTCTGCAGTATCTGTGGGAGAAAGAGTATCAGGTGCTGGTCTTCTACCACCACCCCATGGCCCTGGAGGTGCCCTTCCTGTGGCCAGGCCAGATGATGCCCTCTCCCTGGGCCAACACCACTGACCCAGAGAAGCTGGTTCAGTTTCTCCAGGCGTCTGTCACTGACCGCAGGTCAGCCGCTACATCTATCACTGTGGGCACTTGTACTTGAGAGTTTGTTAGTGATATTTTTATTGCTTCAAATAATGATCTATGTGTCATTACCTTTGTTTTATGTTTTATAGCTAGAGTCGTAAAGTCCAACGTGAGGGGTCGTTCCGTTATGATTTTGATTCATTGTCATCATGCATATACTTTGCCCTGAGTTTAGGAGGTTGTGGTTAATAATTTCATTTGCTGTAGTGCTGGAGCTCACTGCTACATTTAGGAGAATGGGAAAAGATTAAGTGCACAAATCATCACAACCTCATGGCTTTGTGACAAAGTAAAATTACATTAATTCTCTGTGAAGATACATTCGCACATACATACTATCTACATCTGAAGAAAACCACAGACAGTAATGGGGAAGAGTTTCTGCAAAAGCTGACATAATTTTGCATGTGCAAACTTTTGTGTTTATTGTTTCTGAAGGAAGTGTTTTTGTTTTGTTGTGAGCACCTAAAGAAATTAATTCTGATGTAGGCTAAAGCAAAGTTTATTTATATATGTAGAACCTCTTCTGCAGCTCTTATCATACGGTGCATTGATAAAATGCCAAAAATATACCAAGAAAACTGTAGAAAAAATTGTAAATGCTTGATGTGTCTCTTGCAGGAGGAAGGGGACGTTCTTTGTCTCCCAGGTGGTTCTGACACCAAAGGCCAGCACTGTGATGAAGGGTGTGGCTAGCGGACTGAGAGAGACAATCACAGAAAGGTGTGTGTGTGTGTGTTTGTGCGTGTGTGTGTGTGCGTGTGTGTGTGCGTGTGTGTGTGTGTGTGTGCGTGTGTGTGCGTGTGTGTGTGTGTGCTCCTGTTTATGTGTGTGTGTTTGTGTATTAACAGAGAGGATGGAAAGAACAAGCCAAATGTTTCATGTTCAGTGTAACACTAAGATTGGAGAGGAGGCAGGATTAGCACCACTGGTGGCACACAATGTTCAATATATACACAAACACTGTGGGACCAAAATTATAGCAACCCCCCAGGCACCAGAGGACACAGAAAAGATATGATTTACCCATAACAACTCACAACAAAAATCCATGAGCATGTACACATGCACAAACACACACACACATAAACAGTCACATGTGAGTCATCATGGCATTTTATAACAAAATCCAGAGGCATGTTGCTTTCCACAGGTATCCCCAGGCGTTTGACACTGACCTCATTCAAGTATTTTTTTTTTCTTTTTTGAAAAGCTGCCACAAACCAGAGGCAATGCCTCTCATCTTTCTCCTCCCCCTTTCTGTATCTCCCCTTCTCAGTTGTAGTGGAGGATTTTTTTTTCTGATTTACCCTTAGCTTTGTCTGTATTTCACTCCCTCTTAATGTCACCAGTTTGTTAAAAGCCTTAGCAGCAAAACCATCAATTTTCCTGGCATGAATTATTCATTTGATAACTCCACTATCAGCCGTTCCCACCAGGCGTTTGGTTACTTTGATGTAGGCATCCTTCAAAATTTCCATCCATTCATGTTGCCACACAGACTTGCCAGCGTAGGACTCCACACAACAAGAAAAGCAGGCGCGAGGAGGACAATTTTGTCACGCACAAAGCTGGGCGAGGCATCTGCAGGAGTAACACCCTCCCCTGGTGCTCGACTCATGAACATGTCCAGCAAGTGTTCAGAGTGTCATCCTCGCAGCTGGTGTCTGGCTTGCAGACATCACATGCTGCGTCACACAGATCTCTTATCACAGCGTGCCCCTCTCTGTGATAAACCGACCAACCATGAATCATCCCTTCTTCTATATCTTTTGTGACTTTACCCCCCCCTTACACTTCCCCCTAATGTGTGTCTGTGTGTGTGTCTGTGTGTGTTTTCGTGCATCCTCTTAGGGCCTTACCGGGCATGATGCAGTGGATCAGATCACAGAGACCCGGGGAGAGTGGCATCAACATTATCACTGCTGACTTTGTGGAGCTCGGAGAATTCATCAGTGCCGTCATCACCCTCAACTATCACCTGGACGATGATGATGATGATGCCACCTGAGAGCCTGCAGGGGGTGTTAGAGAGCACGGTCGCCACCACAACCACCACCACTATTGCTGCTGCTGCCAGTGGGTGGGGGTCTGTGTTCTCACTGTTTTCTCTTTGGCATTTATTTCAGGAGGGGAGCTGCACTGCTCCTTTCACTTTATTTAGGGCTATAGTGAATTGAGAGATCAAATGGAAGAGGGGGTTGAGGGAAGACAAGTTGGAATTAGTCGAAACAACACTGGTTGGTTTGGTTTGAGCACTAAAAGAATGAGGTTTTGTTTGTTTCCTATTTTTGGGGATCAAAATGTGTGTTTTTTTTCAGGTGAGAAGTTAATTTTCTTTACTTCCTGTGCTGTAAAAATAACTGCTTTTTCCACTGATCTAATGCACTGTTTCTAGGCTTACCACTCTATCAAGGGTAGATTCCTCAGAGCACATCAACTTTCTGCTAAATGTATTGGTACATCATTCTTGATATTCTAGTAACAGTGACAGTTTTTATTTCTGAAGTTGTTTTAAATGAGTCTGTATAACTTAAACCACACAAATAGTAGGCCGGTGTAAGTAGCTAGCAGTTGTTTGTCTTGTTTGGAAAATCCATCTAAGAGATTTTTTTCAAATACTTTATTTTCTAAGAATTAGCATCCCTGCTCAAACCACTGCAATTGTTTCTGAAAACACCACTAGCAGCTCAAATGCAGCGTTTTAACAATGTGTTTACTCGATACACAGACAAAAAATGAACCATTTCCCATTTCTCTCTGGAACGTTAATTTCTCATGGGGGTTTTTCTCCCAGTAATGGTCTCCAATGAAGCCAGCTTGCAGCATAGACTGTGCACACAGTTTTACCACTGGTTCGCCTCCTTGCTCAAAACCTTTTAGAGATAGACAAAGAGTGCATATTAGCCAGGAAGAAATTCTTAATCTTAATTTCTTGTGCATCTCAGTTAAACAATCATTTTCACATCGTCAGTGCGTTTCAAATTTCAAGACAAGCATCGGCTGTATCTGCAGGGTACAGAGTTATAGAAAAAACAATTTTTTTGGGACAGCTAGAAATGCAATAGACGTTACTATTCATTTCTAATGGGTAGGAATCCAGTGTGACAAATCTATTGGATTTTATGGTGGGTGCTGAGTCGTGATAGCCAAGTATAAAAATACAGTACATCAGGATAAACTATTGTATCCACTGTGTGCGGCTCTTCTGCTGAATGCTTGCCCCCTGTATGTGCGTCTATACTTACTGCTGTAGTGCAGAGCATATGAGTCATCATGAGGTGTATCACGGTGTTGTGTCTTTCATAATAACAGGTGATAAAGTTGCTCAACACTCATTCAGAGACCCATTTTATTTCAAGTCAGAACAGGTTAAGCTTCATAATTCTGAGTCAGAGGGGTCTTAACATGACACCAGTGATTTGGCACTTGGAAAGTAACACAGTAAATGTTTAGTTGAGGTCTAGCTGTAGCTCTTTAGTAGGTGTTTCATGTTTCTGAATGTTTCTGAATCCCTGGATTTCTGCTGTATCAATACTGGTGCAATACATTTAGTACACTTAAATTTTTTTATGTATGTTAAATGCATTTCATTCTTAACCCTGCAACGTCTCATTTAAGATGGAAGAGTACACTGAAATGACACCCAGAAAGACAACAATAGAAATATTTTTATCGCAAGGTTTTACACATTATGCATGAAAAAAAAACAAAAAAACACTGCATAGTAGTCAAACATCCACACACCTTATGATCAGTGTGGCATTTTGAATGAGAATGTATTCTGTAAGGACATTGTTGTCTAGTTTGGTAATGTAAAGCCAAAAACAGGAAACTCAACTCTTTGGATTTGTGAATGTATGTCTTGTGAGTAACTGTGCCATTTCTAAAAAATCTCATGTGATGGAGTGACTGAGTATCGGCTAGAAAGACTTGTTTGTATCGTATGCTTAAATGTGAAAATGAGTTCAAGTTTTAGAGTTCAAACAGTACTTCTTTGACTTCAGTGTGGTTTCATGTTAAAATGTTTTATATCGTGGAAAGTTTGTACATACTGTAATTGCAAATAGTATACTGCCGATAAATTGTAAATTATTAAATTTATTGCAAAGAGTCATCAACAACCATTTCTTAACTTTTAGCTTCACTGAGCTGTCATTACTGCCTCTTATTTTTCATATTTATTTGGTACTTCACATTTGTGCATGAACCAAAAAAAAAAACAAAAAACTTCTACATAAACCTTACAAGGGTTCATGAGGTCTGTGCATAACTTCTGTTATTTTATGTATATTGTTCTTTAGAGCATGAGTGCATCTCAGCTGGAAATGTTTTTAGCCTTTAAAACCAAACTCCAAGTTAATTTATTTTTTAAATGTCGCACTGCTACTATCCAACACAGTTTAAGAATGAACCCACACAAAGGAGCAAATTGTGTTGTAAGGACATTTGTGTCTTCCCTGGTCCACACTGTTGTTGTTGCCTTTATGTTCTGGTGTGAAAAAGAGTCCCTTGCTGTTGTAAAACTCAAAAACCTTTGTTCCAATGAAAGTGACTCTGTTCTAAGTGGAAAATGGCCGATCAAATAAAGCTTCTATGCCTAATGAGTGACTAATTGAAGCATCATTTCCTGACCTGTCTCTGGTTTATTGAGTGCGTGCTGGTTGGTTGCTTGGTTGGGTAGCTGCTTGACTGAAAAGCAAAAAAAAAAAAAACATTAAAGCCATTATAATGAAACTGTAATTTAATTCAATCAACAAATGGCCCTACTCTAAAATGAAATCTAAAGTGGATTTGCAGCTTTTCAGCTAGCACACCAGTATTTTTATTCCCTATCTGTGTAGAGGAGCATCCTAAAATCATCCAGTTTCCAGGGCGATGAGGATGGAGGTGGGTGGGCTGCGGCACCTAGGGTGACCTTGCTGAGACTGTGCTTTGCAAAGCAGCATCTGCCATTCTGCATCCAGGTGTTGCTCATGCAGAGGAAACAGAGATAACTCTGATGCTGAGTGCCTGATTGGTCGTGCGCTTTTGTGTGCATCTTACTTTAGCTTTGAGGTTCTCGATTGTAAAAAAAATATATATATATAATTACATATACTTGCTTTTTTCACTTGATGTGATGATTCTTTAAATGTTCTTTTCCTGTGGCTGTTATTGGGGTTCTATGGCTTATTAATGGACTAATGGACTGCAGCTCATTAATGATGCTTTTTGAGGAAAACTGAGAGAAAAGGCACTTATGTATGTCCTTGGATTTTGTTGTCAGTCTTTTGCTTCAGAAATGAGAAAATGTAAATATTGTGGTCATAAGAAGGTGTGCATGTTTGTGTCTGTCTGTCTTTCTCTGTCACACACACACACACACACATACACACACTTGGGCAAACAGAAACATGAGGGGGAGGTAGAGGTGTAGGAGGTAGAGATGGATGATGGCATTCAGACAATTTTAAGAGGGGCAGCAGCAAGATGCACAGTTTCAGAAAAGTTTGAAGTGTGAGGAGGAGGAAGAGTAATTTCACCAGCCACTAGTGCTGTGTCCACTTATGAAGGTACATGACACAGGGTGCCGATTTGTACGCCAATAGAAGCTGCAATACAATAATCTACAATATCACAGCGAGAGAGACATCAAAAGCAACATAGAAGTGAAAAAGAACTGGAATTGTTGTCCCTCATAAAAATTCAACAAGGACAATCGGGGACAGATGCAAAACTGTGGGAATTGTAAAGATCACATGAAAACAGCAAATGGCCAAAGGGAGGCAGAAGGCTCATAGAAAGAGGATGGAGAGAGACAGAGAAAGTAGGGTATGTTGTAACTGTGTCATTCTGTATGAAAGGGCCATTGGTCAGAACTGACCACTGGTGGTTTATGATCATCACCACTTTTTGTTACCACTTTTTGAGTGATAGCATTATTTTCCTTTCTCTGTGTTAAAATGGATGTGCGCATATGGATGCAAAGACACCAAAATGTAACACAATAATTTGTGAGAGAAAGTAAATTCTGGTCAGTGATTTCCAACCCTTTTGGCTTGTGACCCTCAATGTGCTGCCCATAGAAATCCATGTCCTCAAGGTTCATGACATTACTATCACCAGTTATTCATTAGTTTTTAAAGTGTTATTTTTGCCTATTACGTACGGGAGAATTCTCTTTTGTTTCAGTCTTCAGTCAAGGAAAAAAAAAATGACCCTGGCAAAAAAACAAAACAATTTCACTTGCCTTTCAGGGTTTAATCCTTCAGTTTCTGGAAAAAAACAACAACAATGGACTAGAGCTTTTAGAGGCCTGAAGTGTTAAAATTATCAAGTATTTGACAATAAAATACAAATGTTTCAGGAAAAAACTGAAACAAATGAAACAAAAACATGTTCCAGACAGCTCAGTGGGGAACCACTGGCTTACAGTCTGCTTAGATGTTGTTAATTGTTGTGTTACTGTTGTAGCAGATGACTGTTAATAATCTCAAAAATATTTTAAATGTCACTTGTTTTTAATATAAATATCCTCACTTTGATCAGTAGAAAGTAGAAACAGACAGGAAATCAGTCATGTAGCAGTTACATACAGTGTGCATTTGAACCATTAGGCTATCAAGACCCGCATATCACTTTAATAATGTATTAACTTGTTGAAATACAGTACACAGTCTATTCTTGAGGTGAGTAAGCACATAAGCTGCATATTCATTGACTCTGTCTGAGCCGCACAGACTGTCATTCTCTGGCAGTCGAAGGTTCCAGGGCAGATGGCGGTCAGAGATGGCCCTCTGAACATCATGAGATCCACAGAAGCGGCACTAATGGAGGGCACGGTCTGGTGGCCTATTGTCTGAGCCAACTGTTATTCTAGCCTAAGGGGCTGGGACTTGGCACGCTGCTGTACAGTAGCTGAGTCATTAAGCATTGGGCGGTCATTTCAGAAATACAGGAAATCGCTTGAAAACTGCCAGTCATTATCTCAGTCTATTATGCACAAAGTATGCATAACTCGAGTTTTGATTGTCTGGAATTTGTGTTGTTAACTCAGGTGATGCTGTGCTCAAATATAGGTTTCCTCCCAATTTTTATGATGTTTTGTATCTGACAGAAGTTGCATATAATCAAATATTTGCAAATTACAATAATAAAGTTCACTGCAGCGTACTGCCATATAAAAGGTTTGCTTTTCCACTTGCCATGCAATTTCTCCATTGCTCTAAAAAAAATCTGGAAGATGAATGAAACTGAATAAGATGCTTACCTTGAGGGAGTTCCGTTTTTCAGTGATTGAAGGGCAGAGATTGTATGTATGAAGTATTTGTTTGAGCTTGTGTTTCTTAATTTTCTCTATTTTATGGTTCAGCTTTTGGTTCAGAGCCAGAAAGATGTATTCCCATTTCTAAAATATCATTTTCACTGTAGTAAAAGTAACATTTTCTGTCTTTTGCAACTCATTTTAAGCTGAGCTGCACATTAGTTTGACGTCCTAAGTTTGTAGGCAGGGCCAAATTGTCTCATGCTTCTTCCAGAAATGATAAGCAGCAGGAATTAATGCTCACTGAGACAACTTCCCTTGCCCTAACCCTAAAAAAAACATTTAATCTGAACACTAAAACTCAGCAGTATTCCCTCTTGAGCTGCCAGTATGTGATGGATATGCACAGTGTGACCCCCTGTCTGCCTGTGACAGCAGATATATGTTAATTAGACAGAGGAGTGGATTCCACATACAAATATGGGAACACATCCACATTAAATAGCAGAGAATCTCAAGAGATGCAAGGGATATACAGCTGATTGTCATGGACTCCATCATCTAACCCCCAAACCTCTCCCTGTCTCTCTCAACATGTGGAGAAATTACTAAAATAATCATCATAACAGATCTAATCTGGATTCAGACCCAACTTTTGACAATGCCCTAATGGATCCTTCACCATAAACTCAGAGGCCTTGTTGCAGTATTCCTCCTATGAAATCAATTCTACTTACTTAATAAAGAGATGAATTTCCTCAGCTTTGAAGAGCCATGAAAAGGAAACGGTCCTCAAATCTCTGTTGCCCTCCAGTGTTTGCTAGTCTACATCACAACTCAAGTCAATACTTGTACACAAGATATGCCATTTCCCATTTTGTGTTTTTGTGTCTCCTCTGTATGTCATCCAAGCGATCCCCTGCAGGAGATCTATCTCTGAACAACTCCGATCTATACCACTCAGTTGTCATTTAGACAAAATAAACTGTTAGTACTATATGTTATTGAAAAAGATAAACTGAAATCATACATAATTATACAGAGCTAAAGTGTGGTGCAAGAATAGTAACTGTTAAGATGATGTTAACCTCAGGTCATTATTTTGATGTGTAATGTGAGTTTAGGGGGATGAATAGTAGACAGTTGAACATGTCAGTATAGCATTTGAGCTTGACCTTGGAAACAATCTCAACTCATGGTCCAATTACAAACATGCTCTTGGGATTTTCCTTTTCTTTGCTCAGTTGTCGTGATTGATCAAACTGAGCAATAAGGAGTTCATTTATGACCTTGGTAACAGCCTCAATTTTTAAGCCAAGGAAGTACTCCACAACAGGTGAATAAGTGGACCTTGAGTTGAGTTTGTTTGCCAGTTTATTGGGCAGAGGTTATATCTGAGGATAGCTGCAAAATACAGCCCTGCCCTAGCATCCAGCTTGCTGTGTGGGGTACCAGTCCAAACATGAAGTTTCCTTCATCTTGTTCAGGAGTATCTCACAGCAGATATTTTCGACTTGTCAAGTTCAGGTGTACGGTAACAAATTACAATGACTGCATTCCATTTACATGCTATAGTGACTGGGTCATGATATTATGAACACTGGCTTTCTGGCACACCTAAATGGAACACAGTCTAGGCTAGCAGATTACTCACTCCAAGAGGAATCTAATATTGCAGTTTCATAATAATCCCAGGAGGAGTTTTTTCAGAGGAGTTACTCAAGATTTTTTTTTCTCTTGTGAAGACATTTTTCACATTTCCATTTGTCAATGTATGCACACACTTTCCCCTTTTTCCCACTGAGTTCTGTGGAATTATCCTCTGAGAGTTTTACTCCCTAAAAAGAACAAAACTTAACATAAATAACTGTGAAACTGTGCATCAGCGCCTGTTCAAGACGTTTCTTCTTTGCTGCTCTTCTCTCACCATGAAGGTAAGTAGATTTTACACTCAGTAATGGGGAAATTACAAACACATTTCTCAGACTTTTGCAAAACATTTGATATGTAGTTTTGTGCAATTGAGATCTGACTTCAGAGCAAGAGTATTTTTACATTTACTTTGTGTGTTAGTTGTTGCTATGTCATCCTCACTTTTTTACCCATTTTTCTCCTCTCGTCTTTTTTTCTCTGACTTCTTCAGAACATTGCACAACTCTTTTTAGCAGTCTTGCCATGGCTGCTATTCCTGTTCACTCCCAAAGGGTAAATCTGTTTTTGCTTTACTGTTTTACATTAAAAGCATCATAACATCATAAATATGCAATGATCATTTGGTTCCCTTGGATGTGTTGGGATTCATTTATTGAATTATTTCATTTAAATTTTATTTCCAAGGTTTTGTTACCAGAGTGTTCATTGCCAGTGGGGACCTTTTGGTGATTGGTCAGAGTGTAATCCCTGCACCAAACTACAGGTTAGGAGGATTAATTGATCAGTTTAAGATAACTTGTTCTTCACCCATATAATCTTGTTTAAAATTAAATCAACTCTAGTAATGATTAGTGCATCTCTCTCTTAAATGCATGATCTACCAGCAAAACTGCTGTTCATTATAATATTTTTAATTGCTTAAGACATTTCATACTGAAATCTTTTCATGTTAGTATTTTTTTCATATATCTTTGTTGCAATATGGTATGTTACAGACAAGAAGCAGAGCCATGGCTGTCTATGCACAGTTTGGAGGGAACCCCTGTTATGGAGCACGAACTGAGACCAGGGCCTGCGAAACCACACAAGGATGCCCTCTAGAGGAAGGATGTGGAGACAGGTTTCGCTGTGTTTCAGGTTAGAAATAAAACTGTTCACTCCAATAGTCATATAGAATTGAGTGACAATTACTGAGCTTTCTGGTTTTCTTACTGTCTTTTGACCCTCAGGGAAGTGCATTAGCCGGTCCCTGGTGTGTAATGGAGATCAGGATTGCGAGGAAGATGGGCTCGACGAACGTGTCTGTGATCTTGGACGCAATATTGTATGTCATAACTCAGTTCCTCTACCTGGCATTGAACTCCTAGGACTTGGGTAAGGGTTAAATCTTCATATAGTTCTATTTGCATTTGTGTAATCGTGCAAGCACACACAAGCAGGTACTATATGCTTACCACTGAGATGATGTTATTGCTTCTGTAGGATTGATGTGACATCAGGGGCGTGGAGGGGCAGTGTTATCAATACAAAGAGCTTTGGGGGTCAATGCCGCACCATCTTCAGCGGTGTCCACAAGGCTGAGTATCGACTACCCCTTAGTACTCTCCACTACAGCTATATGGTTGGTCACTCTGGAAACACCTACATTTACAATTAATATCATTAATTCTGTTAGTCACTTATTTGAGGTATCCATTGGCATTCATTCAGAGTTGTGTTTCTGCAAACCTGGCAAATGTAAGTCCAAAATTGACTCTCCATCTAGCTCTGCTTTGGTCTCCACAAACTTTTGAAGGAAGTCTGAGGTAAGTTTAGGGATTTGCGAGAATGGTGAGACTGGACCAAAACCATAACAATGAGCTGAAAGACATTAAACTTCTCTGTAGAGCTGAGGGGGCCTGCAGAGTTGGGAAATCGTTTTCTATGGGTTTGTCAATATGAATGAGCCCTATCACATTACACATAGTAATTTGATCCATTGTTAAAATTCCGATCAGTGCAGCTTTAATAAAACCTTGCCCTCATGGTTTAAAGACACCATTTTTGGCTGGTGTGACAAGACACGACAATGCTATGTCTGCCTTTGCTAATTCAAGAGAAAAGTATTCTGTCTCACTGCCACATGAGGTCATTTATGAGTAAGGCATTAACATAGGTTATTTTTGTGTTTAACCAAACAACCAATGCTGTTTTTTTTCTGGTGCAATTGCTGGAATATTTAAAATACACTATATTCAAAACATTACTCTGGAGCACCACTAGTGGTCAAAATTGGTATTTGTTTTTAAATTTCATCTCCATTTGTTGATATACTGTACATTTAATCTTTTTGATTTGTTCACTCAGTTGGGCATTTCTTAATTATAGCAAATTAATTATTGAATGATATGAAATACCAGACACCTTTGTCCTCAGGTTAAAGCTGAGAATGATTTCAGTGATGAAATGTACAAAAGTGAATGGCACTATTCAAAGGAGATTACCAAAAGACATACAGCGTCTGGGACGACAACAGGATATCAAAACTATGACTACCTACAGAGTCGTGGCTGGACTCAGGTATGTATGAACCTGCAAGTTTGTCACTGTATCTTTAACATCAAGGCCCAGTGACAAAGCATCTTATTTTGAAAAGGAAAAGTCAAAGTAGAAAATTGAATGTACTTTTTTTTTTTTATTATTCCTTACAGGAACACAGGCTTTTGGTTTTAAAGAATAACATAGAGGTAGCTCAATTCCAGAGTAACTCCCCTCAGTACCTCCCAATATCTGAGGAGCTGTGGAGGGTATTGGCCAAACTTCCATCTGTCTACGACTACTCCGCCTACAGGAAGGTTCTGGAGAGGTTTGGAACACACTACCTGTCTGAAGGAAGCCTTGGGGGCTCCCTCAGAATAATCGCCAGGATTGATAGTGAGACTACAAAATACCTAGGTAGGATTCATAAGTTATCAGCAGTTTCATGACAGACTTAAACCAACCAATGCTTGATTCAGCTTGTCATATTGGTAAGATACTATACAATAATATTCATGATATGAAACCTTTTAGAAATTGGAACAATATAATATATTGACATAGATGTCTAATAATAGATAATAATAATAATAATAATAATAATAATAATGATAATAGAATTTTAGTATGTCTGTTTATATTATAGTAACATTATATAAATGTATATCCATCCCAAAGTCTGTCAGTATATGTTCATATTATATATGTAAATATAAAAGATACAAATATATATTTAAATTTAATAAGAAATTATTGAGAAAATCAGATAGCAACATATAGAATTTTAAAAAGCATATTGTTTTTAATAAGGTTGCATTTTATTATGAGTATTTCTTATATGTAATAAAATTATACCCTCATATATCCAAACTATTAAAATATCCTCTTATAGGTGAAACAAATGGTGACATCACTCTTGATATAGGGACATATATGTCATATATATGTCATAAGCCACAGGATACTAAGGCATAAAAGCGTCATAGTATAGTAAGGCATAAAAAAGTTGTAGTATAGAAAGACATAAAAGAAGTCATTGTATAGCAAGTCATAAAAAAACATGATAGTAGAAAAATGTCATGAAAATGTCAGAGTATAGTAAGGCAGAAAAAAGTAATTGGACAGTGAGGCAAAAAAAAGTCATAGTATAGTAAGGCATAAAAACATCATACTAAGGCATAAAATATCATAAATGTGATAGTATAGGAAGGCATCAAAAATGTCAGAAAAAATGTCATACTATAGTGAGGCTGAAAGTGTCATAGTATAGTAATGCATCTAAAGTGTCATAAAAACGTCATAGTATAGTAAGGCATGAAAAATGTCATAAAAGGGTCAGAGCATTGTAAAGCATCAAAAATTTCAGAAAAACGTTATAGTGTTGTAAGTCATTACATATGTCATTAAAACTTCATAGTATGATATCAAAAATGTGAAGAGAATGTCATAGTATAGGAAGGCATAAAAATTCTCAATAAAATGTCATGGTATTGTAAGGCGTCAAAAATGTAATAACAACATCATATAATAGAAAGGCCTCAAAAATTTCATAAAAAGATCATTGTATATAAAGGTATTAAAAATCTCATGAAAACTTTGTAGTATATTAAGTGATTAAAACTGTAAAAAAAAAAAGATCATAGTATAATAATGCATCCAAAATGTCATAAAAACATCAAAGTATAGTAAGTCCTTAAAAATGTACTAAAAACGTCATAGTATAGTAAAGCATCAAAAATATCAAAAGAAGTCATAGTATAGTAAGGCATCCGAAATTTCATAGAAAACATCATACTAATGTTAGTTGTCAAAAATGTCATGAAAACATTGAATATAATAAAGCGTCAAACATGATCGTATATTAAGTCATTAAATATGTCATTAAGATATCATAGTATAATAAGGTATCAAAAACGTCATAAAAACGTCATACCATATTAAGTCATCAAAAATGTCATTAAGATATCATACTTAGTTAGTCATCAAAAATGTACTGAAAACGTTATAGTAAAGTAAAAATGTCATAAAAATGTCATAGTATAGTAAGGCATAAAAAGTCATTTTATAGTAAGGTATAAAAAGTCATAAAAACGACATAGTATAATGAGGCATAAAAACGTCATAGATTAGTCAGGCATAAAAACTCATTAAAACGACTTAGTATAGTAAGACATAAAAAGTCATAAAAATGTCATGGTATAGTAAGTCATAAAAAAGTCAAAAATGTCATTAAGATATCATAGTTAGTTAGTCATCAAAAATGTACTGAAAACGTTATAGTAAAGTAAAAATGTCATAAAAATGTCATAGTATAGTAAGGCATAAAAAGTCATTTTATAGTAAGGTATAAAAAGTCATAAAAACGACATAGTATAATGAGGCATAAAAACGTCATAGATTAGTCAGGCATAAAAACTCATTAAAACGACTTAGTATAGTAAGACATAAAAAGTCATAAAAATGTCATGGTATAGTAAGTCATAAAAAAGTCAAAAATGTCATTAAGATATCATAGTTAGTTAGTCATCAAAAATGTACTGAAAACGTTATAGTAAAGTAAAAATGTCATAAAAATGTCATAGTATAGTAAGGCATAAAAAGTAATTTTATAGTAAGGAATAAAAAGTCATAAAAACGACTTAGTATAGTAAGACATAAAAAGTCATAAAGACATCATAGTATAGTAAGGCATTAAACGTAATAGTATATTAAGGCATAAAAATGTCAAAAAACGTCATAGTATAGTAAAGCATGAAAAGTCATAGTATTGTAAGGCATAAAATGTCTAAAAACGTCATAGTATAGTATGGCATAACATGTCAAAAAACGTCATAGTATAGAATGGCATAAAATGTCAAAAAAACATCATAGTATATTACGGCACAAAAAGTCATAAAAACATCATAGTATGGTAAGGCGTTAAACGTCATAGTATATTAAGGCATAAAAATGACAAAAAAAGTATTAGTATAGTAGGGCATAAAACGTCAAAAAAACATCATAGTATATTAATGCACAAATTGTAATTGAATATTAAGGCATAAAATGTCATAAAAACATCATAGTATGGTAAAGCATTAAATGTCATAGTATATTAAGGAATAAAAATTACAAAAAACGTCAAAGTATAGTATGGCATAAAATGTCAAAAAACGTCACAGTACAGTATGGCATGATATGTCAAAAAAACATCGTAGTATATTAAGGTACAAAATGTCATAAAAACATCACAGTATGGTAAGGCATTAAATGTCATAGAATATTAAGGCATAAAAATGTCAAAAAACGTCATAGTAAAGTATGGCATATAATGTCAAAAAAACATCATAGTATATTAAGGCACAAAATGTCACAAAAACATCAGAGTATGGTAAGGCATTAAAAGTCATAGTATATTAAGGCATAAAAATGATAAAAAACGTCATAGTATAGTATGGCATAAAATGTCAAAAAAACATCATAGTATATTAAAGCACAAAATGTCATAAAAACATCATAGTATGGTAAGGCATAAACGTCATAGTATATTAAGGCATAAAAATGACAAAAAACGTCATAGTATATTAAGGTATAAAAATGTCAAAAAACGTCATAGTATAGTATGGCTTATAATGTCATAAAAACATCATAGTATATTAATGCACAAAATGTCATAGTATATTAAGGCATAAAATGTCAAAAAACATCATAGTATATAAAGGCCTAAAATGTCATAAAAACATCACAGTATGATAAGGCATTAAAAGTCATAGTATATTAAGGCATAAAAATGTCAAAAAACATCATAGTATAGTATGGCATAAAATGTCAAAAAACGTCATAGTATAGTATGGCATAAAAAGTCAAAAAAACATCATAGTATATTACGGCACAAAATGTCATAAAAACATCAAAGTATGGTAAGGCATTAAACGTCATAGTATATTAAGGCAAAAAAATGACAAAAAATGTCAAAGTATAGTATGGCAAAAAATGTCAAAAAACCTCATAGTATATTAAGGCACAAAATGTCATAAAAACATCAAAGTATGGTAAGGCGTTAAACGTCATAGTATATTAAGGCATAAAAATGACAAAAAACGTCATAGTATAGTATGGCATAAAATGTCAAAAAAACATCGTAGTATATTAAGGTACAAAATGTCATAAAAACATCATAGTATGGTAAGGCATTAAACGTCATAGAATATTAAGGCATAAAAATGACAAAAAACGTCATAGTATAGTATGGCATAAAATGTCAAAAAAACATCGTAGTATATTAAGGTACAAAATGTCATAAAAACATCATAGTATGGTAAGGCATTAAACGTCATAGAATATTAAGGCATAAAAATGACAAAAAACGTCACAGTATAGTATGGCATAAAATGTCAAAAACATCATAGTATATTAAGGCACAAAATGTAATAAAAACATCATAGTATGGTAAGGCATTAAATGTCATAGTATATTAAGGCATAAAAATGACAAAAAAAGTCACAGTAAAGTATGGCATAAAATGTCAAAAAAAACATCATAGTATATTAATGCACAAAATGTCATAGTATATTAAGGCATAAAATGTCAAAAAACATCATAGTATATAAAGGCACAAAATGTCATAAAAACATCATAGTATGGTAAGGCATTAAACGTCATAGTATATTAAGGCATAAAAATGACAAAAAACGTCATAGTATAGTATGGCATAAAATGTCAAAAAAACATCATAGTTTATTAATGCACAAAATGTCATAAAAACATCATAGTATTGTAAGGCATTAAAAGTCATAGTATATTAAGGCATAAAAATGACAAAAAACATCATAGTATAGTATGGCATAAAATGTCAAAAAAACATCATAGTATATTAAGGCATTAAACGTCATAGTATATTAAGACATAAAAATTACAAAAAACGTCATAGTAAAGTATGGCATGAAATGTCAAAAAACGTCATAGTATAGTATGGCATAAAATGTCATAAAAACATCATAGTATATTAAGGCACAAAATGTCATAACAACATCATAGTATGGTAAGGCATTAAACGTCATAGTATATTAAGGCATAAAAATTACAAAAAACGTCATAGTAAAGTATGGCATGAAATGTCAAAAAATGTCATAGTATAGTATGGCATAAAATGTCATAAAAACATCATAGTATGGTAAGGCATTAAACGTCATAGTATATTAAGGCATAAAAATGAAAAAAAGTATTAGTATAGTATGGCATCAAATGTCAAAAAAACATCATAGTATATTAAGGCACAAAATGTAATAAAAACATCATAGCATGGTAAGGCATTAAACATCATAGTATATTAAGGCATAAAAATGTCAAAAAACGTCATAGTATAGTATTGCATAAAATGTCAAACAACGTCATAGTATACTATGGCATAAAATGTCATAAAAACATCATAGTATGGA